TTTTGATGGGGATTGCATTGAATCTATATTTCTTTTGGTAGAATTGCCATTTTTACTATGTTGATCCTCCCAATCCAAGAGAATGGAAGAATCTTCCATTTTCTGGTATCATCTTCAATTTCTTTCTTCAAAACCTTAAAGTTCTTGTCAAATAGATCTTTCACTTCCTTGGTTAGTGGTACCCCAATATATTTTATGCTATTTGTGGCTATCATGAAAGGTGAAGTTTCTCTGATTTCCCTCTCTGCTTCTTTGTTCTTTGTATATAGGAGGACTTGTTTTTTTGAGTTGTTCTTGCATCTTGCCACATCAATGAAGGTATTTATCAGTTGTAGAAGTTCTTTAGTAGAGGTTTGGGGATCACTGATGTACACTATCATATCATCTGCAAATAACAAATGTTTGACTTCTTCATTTCCAATTACAATCCCTTGATTCTCCTTATACTGTCTTATTGCTATTTCGAGAACTTCGAATACTATGTTGAAGAGATATGGTGAAAGTGGACAGCCATGTCTTATTCCTGATTTTAGTGGAATGGCTTTGAGTTTCTCTCCATTTAATTTGATATTATCTGTTTACTTGCTGTATATTGCTTTTATTATATTTAGATATGACCTTTGTATCCCTAACCTCTCCAAGATCTTTATCATAAAGGGTGTTGAATTTTGTCAAATAATTTTTCAGCATCTAATGAAATGATCGTATGTTTTTTCCCTTCAGTTTATTTATATGATGGATTACATTGTTAGATTTTCACATGTTGAACCAGCCCTGTCTCTCTGGGATGAAGCTTACTTGAGAAAATGTATAATTTTTTTGGATGTGGTCTTGGATTCAGTTTGCCAGTATTTTACTGAGAATTTTTGCATCGATGTTCATGAGTGAGATTGGTCTGTAATTCTCTTTCTTGGTTGAGTCTTTGTGTGATTTTGGCATCAGGGTAACTATAGCTTCATAAAAGGAGTTTGGCAATGACCATTCTGCTTCTATTTTCTGAAACTCATTAAGGAGTATAGGTATTAGCTCTTCTTGGAAGTTCTGTTCGAATTCTGCATTGAAACCATCTGGTCGTAGCCTTTTTTGGGTAGGGAGGTTTTTGACGACAGCTTCTAATTCTCCTTGACTTACAGGTCTATTTAAATAGTTCACCTAGTCTTGATTTAATTTTGGTATATGGTACTTATCTAAAAAAAATGTCCATTTTTTCACATTTTCCAATTTTGTGGCATATAAGCTTTTGTAGTAAGATCTGATGATTCTCTGAATTTCCTCTGTGTCTATTGTTATGTCCACCTTTTCATTTCTGATCTTGGTAATTTGCGTGTTCTCTCTCTACTGTTTCATTAGTTTGAATAGGGGTTTGTCCATCTTGTTGATTTTTCTTCAGGAACTAGCTTTTTGTTTCATTGATTATTTGGACTATTTTCTGTGTTTCAATTTTGTTGATTTCAGCCCTCGGTTTGATTATTTCCAGTCTTCTCCTCCTGGGTGAGTCTGTTTCTTTTTTCCTCTTGACCTTTTCTAGTGTGCTGTTAAGTCTCTAATGTGAGCTTTTTCCATTCTATGTTGGCACTTAGTGCTATGAACTTTCCTTTTAGCACTGCTTTCATAGTGTCCCATAGGTTTGGGTATGTTGTGTCTTTATTTTCATTGAATTCAAGGAAGTCTTTAATTTCTTTCTTTATTTCTTCCTTGACCCAGGGGTGGTTTAGTAGTTGACTGTTCATTTTCCATGAGTTTGTAGGCTTTCTGGGTGTAGATTTGTTGTTGAATTCTAACTTTATCCCATGGTGATCTGATAGTACACAGATAGTTAATAATTTTATTTTGTATCTGTGAATGTTTGCTTTGTTACCAATTATGTGATCAATTTTTGAGAAAGTTCCATGAGAGTCTGAGAATAAGGTGTATTCTTTTCTGTTTGGGTGGAATGTTCTATAAATATCTGTTAAGTCCATTTGATTTATTACTTCTGTTAGTTCTCCTATTTCTCTGTAAAGTTTCTGTCTGATTGACCTGTCCATTGGTGAGAGAGGAGTGTTGAAATCTCCTATTAGTGTGTGGGGTTTGATATATGTTTTGAGTTTTAGTAATGTTTCTTTTACATATGTGGGTGCTTTTTTATTAGGAGCATAGATATTCAGGATTGAGACTCCTACCTGATTATTTGTTCCTGTTATGAGTATAACGTGTCCATTTCCATCTCTTCTGATTGATTTTAGTTTGAAATCAATTTTGTTAGATATTAGGATAGCTATACCCACTTGTTTATTTGGTCCATTTGATTGGAAAACCTTTCCCCAACCCTTTACTCTGAGGTAATGTCTGTCTTTGAGTTTGAGATGTGTTTCTTGTAAACAGCAGAATGTTGGATCCTGTTTTTGTATCCATTCTTTTAACCAGTGCCTTTTTATTGGTGAATTGAGGTCATTGATATTAAGTGATATTAATCACCAATGGTTGTTAACTATGATTGTTTTATTATTATTATTATTTTTGGTGGTAGTGTTTGTTCATTTCTTTTCTTTGAGTTCTGCTGTTGGAGGGTTGTCAGATGTCTGTTTTTTACGGGTGTTGTTAGCTTCATTCGGTTGTGGTTTTTCTTCTAGTACTTTCTGTAAGGCTCAGTTTGTGGCTACGTATTGTTTAGATTTTTTTTTCTGGAATATCTTGTTTGCTCCATTGATGGTGAAATCATGCTTTTCTGGGAGTAGTAGTCTGGGCTTGCATCCATGGTCTCTAAGTGTCTTCAGCACATCTATCTAAGACCTTCTGGCTTTCATGGTTTCCATTGAGAAGTCCGGTGTAAGTCTGTTAGGTTTACCTTTATATGTTACTTGACCTTTTTCCTTTGCACTTTTTAAAATTCTTTCTATATTCTTTATGTTTTGTGTTTTGATTATTATATGACAAGGGGATTTTTTTGTTCCAGTCTATTCGGTGTTCTGTATGCTTCATGTATTCATAGGAATATCCTTCTTTAGGTTTAGAAAGTTTTCTATAATTTTGTTAAACATATTATCTGGGCCTTTGAGCTGTAATTCTTCTCCTTCTTCTACCTCTGTTATTCTTAGGATTGGTCTTTTTATGGTGTCCCAGAATTCGTGGAAGTTTTGTGTTAAGAATTTGTTGGATTTGCTGTTTTCTTTGATCACTGAGTTTATTTCCTCTATAGTATCTTCAGGGTCTGAGATTCATTCTTCTATCTCTTGTACTCTGTTGGTTATGCTTGTCTCTGTAATTTCTGATCAATTACCCAGATTTTCCATATCCATCTATACCTCAGTTTGTGTTTTCTTCATTGCCTCCATTTCAGTTTTCAAGTCTTGAACTGTTTCCGTTACCTGTTTGATTGCTTTTTCTTGATTTTCCTGGGTATCTTTGAGGGATTTATTCATTTATTCTAACTTTTTGTTTGTCTTCTCTATTTCTTTATGGGAATTTTTCACATTCTGTTTAAGGGTCTCTATCACTTTCATAATTTTAAGTTTAACATTGAATTCTTCTACTCCTTCTTGATTAGGGTGTTCCAGTCTTTCTGTTGCACATTCACTGGATTCTGGTGCTATCATGTTGCTTTTCAGGTTGTTGGAGGAATTCTTGCATTGGTGCCTGCCCATCTCTTCCTTCAAATGCAGCCAAGGAGAGACTTGGTGTCTTGGTCCAATCTTTTCTTGGCTAACTGTGCTCTTGGGGTTTTTTCTTGGTCTGCCCTCTCTTAGGTTCCTTAAGCACTGGAGTTGGCTCTCAGACCCTCTCCACCCTGAAGTAGGCTGTGGTAGTGGATCTAAGAACACAGCAGATTAACAGGAGTTCTTGTTGGTATGATGGGATTTGGTAAATAAAGAAAGTCAGTATCCGGAGGGGGGGCCCCACTGATTGTCCAGAAAGGTTAGGGAATTGGAGGGGGCCTGTTCTCCATTCCTGGGTCATCTGGGTAGCCAAGTGGGCACACACTTACTCCTCTGGCTAGATCTCCTGATACAGGAGCAGGGCCCCTTGCTGGCTAAGGACCTCACAGACAAAAGGGCGGGCTTGGTAGGTGCAGTGTCTTGTGGAACAGAGAAAGCCCTGCAGCAGTAGCACTCACGACTGTGTCCTCAGACCCTCAGACCTGAAGCAGGCTGAGTTGGGGGATCCTATGACTGCAGATGGAAACGGGTGGTTTGCGGCAAGCTGGGATGGGATTAAAAAACTACTTCTTTCATATATATTTTAAAATTGGTCTTTGAAGATATTTCCACAGGAGTGAGATTGCAAGCAAGTAGATTCACATCTACTCCATTGAAACATTTGAATCAATGGGAATATTGTTGACAACATATCACATACCTCCCCAATCCTTATTCTTATCAATGGCTCATGTTTCATACTAGTTTTACTTTACAGTATGACATCCAACAGTCGGTCAAATTAGAATACTGAGCAACTTTCCTTTGTTTATTCCACATTTAATGTGATTATTTTACATTTCATATGAGTTAACCAAGAGAATTAATATATTTTTTCTCTCTTCCCACACTATAATATAGTAAATAATGTGTATGTGTGTGATATAAAATGTGCATTTTAAAGTTAAATTTTGGATGAGAACAGCATGAAATTTTTTTCCTTTGAAGGTGCAGATTAAAAACCCTTTCAAGCAATATGATTTATTAAGAATGATTCATTCTGAAATGTAGAAGTCACTATTCTTTCTACTTCAACTCAGCTGTTGATTGCTTCTTCAATGAAATGTGGTCTCATTTTTAATTCTGTAAATTTTAAGCAATGTAGAGATGTAGAAGAAATTCACTCCATAAATATGAGCAGTTAATGACTTCAACAACTTCACTGATATTTATAACAGGAAGTAAAGTATTTGCTTTAAGAAAATCTTGTTACATTATTCACTCTGCCTTTGCAATTTCAGCACAGGTGACTGTCATCCACATACATAACATAACAGAAAATTTAATGATTTGCATGATTCATCCCAGAGGCACAATTGTCACAATTTAAATGAAAAAGTGCCAAATGACAGAATGGATTCCAGAAACTTGGTAATTGGAATAGTGCTCTTACTTGAGACTGCACTTGGAATTATAGGAAACGTATCTTTTCTTTTCTTCTACCTACTCATTCACTACAATGAACACACATTAAAAACTGTAGACTTAATTCTTACACATGTGTTCACAGCCAACTTTTTGATCATTCTCTCTAAAGGAGTGCCTCAGATAATGAAAACTTTTGGGTGGAAATGGTTTATCAATGATGTGACATGCAAGCTTATTTTATATAATCACAGACTTGGCAGGATCATGTCCATCAGTACTACCTGCCTTTTGAGTGTTTTCCAGGCCATTACTATCAGTTCTATTGACTCCCATTGGAAAGATCTTAAAGTCAAAGTACCAAAATATGTTCGCTCCTCCATTTCCCTCTTCTGGATCCTGTACATGCTAGCAAACATATTTTTCCCCATGTACATGTCTATTAAAGGGAATATCAAAAATAAGACACAACAGAGAGATTTTGAATTCTGTCCTGCTCTAGGTCGTGACAAAATTGTAGACTCCCTGTATGCAGCATTTTGGGTATTCCCTGAAGTCTTATTTTCTATGCTTATGGTATGTTCTAGCATTTCCATGATGGTCATGATTTATCGACACAAAAGGAGGGTTCAACACATCCTCAGCCCTCATGCCTCCCCCAGAATCTCCCTTGAATCCAGAGCCACACAGACCATTTTCATCTTGGTTTGCACCTTTCTAGCTTTTTATACCCTCTCTTCCATTTTACAAGGCTACATTGCTCTTTCTCAGAATCCCAATTGGTGGCTAATGAATATCACAGCTATCATTTCTATGTGCTTTCCTACTTTAAGCCCCTTTTTAATGAGTCATGATTCTATTATTCCCAGACTTTGCTTTTTCTGTGTAAGGAATACAAAAAGGAAATAATCTTATAATAATTATGTAAATTCTATCATTGTAGTGTTGTATGTCTAACATTTTAGACAATCATGTCATTTAAGATATAAATCTAATGATTTATCATTTTAATCATTTCATTTATTTATCACTTATTTATCAAAATATCAATCTCATAATTGTATATTTTATTTTAACAGTAAAATCTTTTCACAGAATGCTAGTAGTATAGTTTTCATTATAGTCTATGGGCAGGCTAGTCACATGTTCTCAGACACTTTAACTATTGTAGTAAGGACTCCTCATTAAGTGGTCTTATATCCTATCAAAATGTGCTTAGTTACTTCTGCCATATTTCTTCCACTGTTGCATAAGTGAGCCAATTTTTCCTGTTTAGTTTTTTGTAGCTCTCTTTATTCATTTCTAGGTAATATTGAATACTGTTTTTCTCCAGTAAAAAATATAACATCTTGTAGCACTACAAAGACTAACTAGTAGAGTTGAATCTTCAATGTCACTATCTGAGGGATTCCATATGCTTTGACGCAAGTATTTTGCAGTCATATTCTCAAATTCACAGTTATTATGTGGCAGCACACGCAAGACCTGGGAAAGTCAAAGAATATGTGAGCAGTCTGAGCATGAATGAGATAGATTTTAAGTCCAATCCCTACATGTATTAAAATTACTATTTGATAACTGTTAAGGAAAGGAGAAGATCAGTTTGCTTTATGAGTGTTGATGCCCTGAAGGTTGAGCACATTCTGGAATAGTTCCTACAATCAATAATACCTAGTGAACAGAAATTGTATGTGATAGGTTTACAAATAAAGAACTTGAAATTTGGTGAGTAAGTAGGTAGGGATGCATCTAAGAGGTTTGGGGGAGAGATGTTTAATTCTATCAAAATACTTTGCATGAAAATCTCAATGAGCAGATAAGTATATTAAAATTTGTGGTGGAATCAAGGAATCCACAAGGTTATGCATTATGTTAGCTAACATTTAGAAAGCCAACTCTCCAGAGACTTACATATCTGATGGAGGTTAAATTCATGTAGGCATGGCCTGTGAAAAATACTGGCTTTTTAATAACTAGCTGCCTGTAACTATTTGCAAATTCTCTCGTGTGACAAGATGCTCCCTTTCTAACTCAGCTTTGCAACTCTTCAACAGTGTAGTCCTCACATGTTGGGTACAATATTCTATTTTTCTGTTCGTATGATGAGTTTTTTCCAAACAGTATACTCTACAAATAAAATAAAACAGTCAAATCTTTTATGCCACACTGAAATAAAATAAAAACTTAGAAGCATGTGATCCATAATTAACTCCCTAACAGGATGATTTGGCCTGGCAAAAATGCTTTTGGGGAGATCACAGAAGGAACGTTCACAGAACAGAATTACAGGTGTCTGTCCTTGTTATGTCACAGTACTTCAAAATATCAATAGCACTGAACTGACTAACCATATTCAGATATTATATATCACATGCAAGAAATGTAAAATAATGCATGCATTCATTGCTTTTACCTTAGATCTCATAATGGTTTAGTTTTCTCCCTTTGTACTGTATAGCTGCCTATTTAAGAAATGCCTGGAACCTCCCCCACAACTGCACCTGTAGTTAGGTACAAACTAGCTGATAAGTTTTTCTACTATCTTCAAAGAATGCCTATGTCCCTGAGAGTTTTTCTAGTAGGTTTTTATTACTAACAAGTTGCTAATGAATATTAATTTTATTGCTAACAATGTTAATGAATTTCCTGGGAATTTGTAAGAGCAGAAGAAAAAAGATTGGAAAATTAAAGAATGTGAAAGGATAAAGAATGTAGAAAAATGTAGATGATGAAGGAGAAGAGTAATTAGAACAAGAATGAACTGAAACAGATATATGTAACAGAGAATTGGAATGGTGTGTTGAGAAGTTAAGTGGAGGGAATGGGAGGAGGGGAGGAGGTAGGAACTGCATTAATATGTAAAATAAAATAAGGTAATTTCTTTTCTTTTTTTTTACTATGATAGTTTACATAAGTGATTCCAAAAAGTCTACCAAGAAGCTTTTATGACTCATAAATGCTTTCAGTAATGTAGCAGAATACAAGATTAACTAAAAAAAAAAGCCATTCTGTACACATATGATAAAAGGGCTGGGAAAGAAATCAGAGAAACAACGCTCTTCACAATAGCCACAAATATAAAATATCTTGGAGTAACTCTAACCAAACAAGTGGAAGACTTTTATGACAAGAACTTTAAATCTTTAAAGAAAGAAATAGAAGAAGACACCAGAAAGTGAAAAGATCTCCCATGCTCTTAGATAGTCAGAATTAACATAATAAAAATGGCTATCTTACCAGATTCTTTTATTACAGTTTTTACTTATGATTTGAGAATTTCATATTATTTACTCCAATTCCACTCATTTTCAATTCCTTCCATGTCCACCATAAAAACTTAGCCTTAACCACAGAATAAATGAAATAAAATACTTAAATCAATAAAACAAACAAACAAAAACCACTTTGCTCCTTTATATATCCCTGTCTCTCCATTCCATATCTATCTCTTTATCAGCCTTGGGAGCTGTGGTGTGTCATGAAGGATACACTTTTACTCAAACAACTTTACTGATGAATGTTCATTGTTGTAAATTGTTCTGGCGGGTCAAGGTCTTGCTTCTGGTATACCATCAATACTGGTCTCTATCAAAATTTCTCTAGCATATTCCGCCATTGTCCCTAGTTATGGAGATTCTGTCACTTTGGTACTTCATGACATTCCTCACTCCAGCAGGTGATAGATGCAGTAGATGTTGTGATGAACCAGCTCAAATCCTTGGATGTGGGCCCAAATGGTAACTGAGATAATCAATCCAGATCTCCACGAGGAACAACCAGTCAGATGAGTATTGGGGTCACCTACACCGTGCCCACATCATCTGAGTCAGCTATCCTGTGCACATGGCGAGGGGTGGAGCCCAGGACCAGGTCTCTTGTAGCAGCTGGCAAGGGGAGAGAATTTCTTTAAGAGTTATGAAAGATAGGGTCCTCAGCTTAGCATGGAGGCAATCTTCCCTTGAGGCTACCTGTGAGGTATGGGACCAGATTTCTGCTGCCCAGACCACTGGGACCAGCTCTCTTATGGGCTAGTGGTAACATTAAGTGCAGACAACAACACAGACCTCAGCTTCAGTAGAACCATGGACCTAGAGATGGCCCTCAGCTTCAGGGTGTTCCCTGATATCCGGATGAACCTGAATGGCATCAAATGCCACTCAGAGCGGTATGATCCTAGTGGCAGTGTGGATGTTGGACACCAACATGGTAGTCCAGACCTCAGGAATTTTGTAATCCTTTGATGGTAACACAGACTGACATAATCACAGAACTTGGTTGCAGTAGGGCAATGGAACCAGACATAGACCAAAACTGTATCTCAGGTGTTGCCACATGACCCTGGTATCAGCTGGGCTCTCAGAAATCAAGATTGGCTCAGGTGTGTACCCAAATAATGGGACATTGTATGACCTTGCGGATAATATGACCAAGGGATATCAACACAGACTCCAGCTGTGGTAGGGACACGGACCCACATTTGGTCCTTGGTGGCAGCACAGGCCCTGACATCACTGTTTTCAGTTCTGTTTCTTTCCACAGCATGTGAATTGCCCAGTTTCACATTCTCTCCCATTTCTCTGTGACATACCTTTTCATCTTAGTATTATATCCCTGCACAGGCCTCAGGGTACTGGGCTGTTCTGTGGCTGACTTTTACCTGCCCCACATCTAAGATTCTTAGGGGAACAAAGTAACTAAGTTACCAAGAAGATAAGGACTAGAGTACTAATATCAATGGAGATACTAAGTGCAGGTAATTCAACAACCAAAGGGGTAATGTCCCTACATAAACTATATTCAGTAAAAGTATACAGAAGAAATATCAAGAAGTGGACATTGTTCAAAATCCTTGGTGAGGAGATGGGCACTGTTAAATATTGTTACACAAGTTAATATTATTGAAAGATCTTCATGGTAAACAGTCTTTATTCTTTAATTTCCTTTAATTTAATTAACTGCGGAACTTGACCATTTGATTAACATCGGTTAAACCAGTCCTTTGTGCTCCACTATTCTTAGGAACTGTAGAATAAACAGTACTCTCACATATCTGAGGGATTGTTATCAGTGCTTCCTGAATACTTGGAGGACTTTACAGGTACTTTGTGAGTTCCAAATCCCAGCTTCAAAGAACAGTGTCATCATGGCTCCCAAGAAGTCACAACATTCCATTTTAGCAAGTCCTGCTCCTTTTATGGCTACTATAGTCTGCAACCAGTTCTCAGTGAATCTGGTACAGTTCCATCAATATATTGTGACTGACTATTTGACCTTGCTGTCTTGTAAGTGTCAAGAGACACAGAAAAATACCTGCTCTTACCATTTAGGCCAAAATTCTTAATGACAAATAGGAGCATATACCCATTGAAGGTTTGTGATTAGTTCTCATATGAGTTTTGTGACTGGGTCACAAAAATTTGGTATTAGTTAAACTGGGAGCCATGACCATACCTGACTGCTAGTAGTGAAACTGAAAACTGTATGTTTAAGATAATCTTTCTTATGGTGTTGTAAGTCAGCTCTTAACAATGCTCTTTTAAAAAATGGAAGGTTGCTTTTCTGTATCTACTATCCTCACTCATCTCAGGTTGTAACATATTTTTAATAAAGCTTTGCCTCTAACAGTCTCTTCCTACTCATGTGTCACGAATTATACTAGCATGATAAATACCAGGCCAGCTCAAGGATAACAATTATATTTTTAATGGCTATAAGGGGAAACTCATGCAAAAGAGTGGGAGGTCTAACTTCCTATCTGTCTGGTGGGAGTTGCACACACACACACACACACACACACAGAGAGAGAGAGAGAGAGAGAGAGAGAGAGAGAGAGAGAGAGAGAGAAAGAGTACCTGGTTAATCCCAGTTTTTCTTCCTGGGCTCCAGGTAGCCACACCTTAACTAAATGT